AAAAATTTCTCTTTTTTAGCAAATAATTTTTTTAATTAAGAAAAGTTATCAGCTTACCCTTTACTTTTAGAAACCAAACCAAGAGACTGACTCAATCGATGAATAAAGGCTCTTTCTGTACTGGTCAAAGAAGAAGGAAATTCCATCTCTGCATGGGAAAAAAAAACACAAAGTATCATTTGTGGACAGTCAATTTTCTTTCAAACTGCTTCAATACACATATAGAGATATGAAATACAAAAAAGTCATACTCATGTAACCAAATTTACATATTTTATGTGAAAAGTAGATACAGATATACCTCAGAGACATTGCAGGTTTGGTCCCAGACCACTGCAATAAAGTGAATGAATACCATAATTAAGCAAGTCACACAAATTTTCTTGGTTTCCCAGTGTATATAAAATTATGCTTACACTATACTTCAGTCTATTTTAATTGTGTAACTGCATTATGTCTTAAAAAATATACATACATAAATTGAAAAAAGACTTTGATTAAAAAATGCTAACCATCATCTGAAGTTATGACAACTTTAGTGTGTAAAAAACACAGTACCTGCAAAGTGCAATAAAATAAGGTATTCCTAATTAATCACTGAATATCTACCAAAGTTTTGATATTAGTAACACTGAAACCTAAACGTGCTAAAGGACTCTGATATTCACCAAGGATTACTACTATTATTTTTGCTGGAATCATGAGCTGGTATAACGACTGATTAACCTATTTTACTATCTTACTTCTTAGTTGCTTAACAAAATGTTTATTTCCTTCAATGATGAGGTATGCTCACGTACTATGAATGCTCAGCATCAGATTACTCTGTCTTCAAAACTGCATAGAGTTCATATATCACTATCAGACTGGATACGGTATTTTCTATTTCTGGGGCTTCAACTTTGTTTAATGCAAGTTCAGAATACTCCGCCCAGGTCACTTTGTTTTGGACTCGTAAGTTTCCAGAGTACGGGGTCTTCTACTTAGACCAGCAAATCGGAATCAGCACTCAATACTGATCACAGGTCAGCTACTGGTTCTGCACTGTGTGACTCAAGACAAGGAGCTTTCTACACTTAAGAGATGTGGAAGATGTTTCATCTATCAGAACAAGTTTAATTCTTTTCTTAAGTGTTTAGCAAGTGTTTAGCGTAATGCTTTTGGGATTTAAACAAAATACTAGATATTGCCACCGCATTTATTTGTCTGATTTCCTTAGGCTCCTCTACTTCCGTAACTTAAATGTGTCTCGATTAAGGGCACCACGACCTCCTACTTTAAAAAAAAAAAAGTGGGGGGGGATGCTTAACCATATCTAAAAACTGTGGCAAAGCTGCCGAAAGGCCTCTCCCTGGGGAAAGAAACACTTCCAGCGACGGTGCATCCTGACTCTTTCACCTTTGGACGCCAGGCAATTGCCTCGCAACCCAGCTGGTCCGCCGGACGCCGGGCGGCTCTTCACATTCCCCGGGAGGGCTAACAAGTCTGGTCCGGCCCCCGCTCACATAGCGCGGCCCGGGTCTTCCCTCCCTCCCTCCTCTGAGGAAGCCCCTTCCCACGCAGGGTCGGGCTTCAGGGAGGCGGGGCAACCGGCGGGGTCCCTGTCTGGAACCTCACCTCTCTGGTCCCCATAGCGGAAGCGCTCCAGGGCGATATTGACCGCGATCTTCACCTCCTCGTCTATACGAATGTCCTTCAGCCCCTTGGCCCGGCCGCCGCCCCCAGGACCACACGGCGCGGGGCCGCCCCCGCCCCCGCCGGGAGCCGGCGGCCGCGGGGAGACGCTGCTCGGCCTGGACATGGCCCTGAGGAGATGTTCTCCTCGCTGTAAAGCGGCCAGGCCTGCTGGCGGTCGGCCAATGACAAGAAGAATGGGCCTCGAGGGTCCCTGCCGGGCCGGACGGCTCCACAGGCGGCCCGCGCTGGGCCGGGCTCTCCAGAAAGCCCCCAGTCACCACAGCAGCCGAGGAGGCGCCGGCGCCACTACAGCCGCAGCCGGGCCGAGAGCGCGGGCGTGATGACGTCACCGGGGCGGCGGCGCCCGTGACCTCAGCGTGCAGGACGCCTCTGGGGCACTGTACCCGTATCACAAGTTCCCCACTGAGCTGTTCTCCCCGTTGTCTCCCATCGACCCCCGCGACAAGAGGCGCTCGTTCACCCACTTATTCAGTCGCTCACTCTTTGGTTAAACCCTTCCTTAACTGTGTAGGTTCCTACTATGTGCCATGTGAGCGCTATGCTATGCCCTGGGGAACCAACAGAAATTGTCCCTGCCCTCATGGAGTTACTATTCTAGTGGCAGTAGAGTTGCCAGATTTAGCGAATAAAAATACAGGATGCCCAGTTTATATGAATTTAGGTAAGGAACACAATTCTAGTATACGTGTTTTCCACGCACTATTTGGGAGCACATACAGTAAAGAATTATTCGTTACCTGAAAAGCAAACTTAATTGAGCGGGTGTATTTTACCTGGTAAAATAGATAGCACTCCTAGATGGGAGTGACAGGCGAAAAACAAGAAAATGATTAAATGGTAGTTGTATGCCACATGAGATGATGAAAGAGGAAGATGGAACCCTTTAGTTTGGGAAGTTAAGAAAGATTATGAGAACATCCACTTGCTTGAATACAATTCCACTAACATAAACCTAAATCCAGCCACTGTAATTGCTTCCACTCTGGTCTTCCTTTCCAGAGAGCAACCAAAGTGATCGTTTAAAAAATAGATTTAGCCTTTAGTTCTCTCGGGTTCCTCAACTGGGGATTCAACTAACTACCACATGGAATTTTTTTTTTTAATCCCAGGAAGTTCCAAAAAAGCAAAATCTGAATTTTCTGTGGGCTGCAACTACTTACATAGCATTTACGTTGTGTTGGATTTTATAAGCAATCAAGAGCTGATTTAAAGTATAACAGGGATGTGCGTAGGTTATATGCAAATACTACACCATTTTATATGAGGGACTTAATCATCTTCGTATTTGTGTATCCTCAGGAGTCCTATAACCAATTCCCTGCAGATATGGAGAGACAACTGTATAATTCAAGTAGGATAACATCCCTATAAAAGCACTCTCCCATTGCAACTATAAAACACCCTCAATTCCTTACCAAGACCTTAAAGACCCTGCCTGATCTGGCCTGTCTACCTCCATAAGTCTCACCCCCTGCCATTCTCACCCTCACAGTGTTCAAACGCACTAATTTGGAATGTCCCTTGAACATTCCAAGCTCATTACCATCAGGGGAACTTTCCACTTTTCCACTTTTCTCAGTTTCCTACTGCACATGACAGTTTTCCTCCCAGTACTTCATATAGATGCCTCTTTCTCACCATTTAAGCCAGAATTCCATCCCTTACCTAGATAGGCTTTCCTACCTCAACCTATTATCATTTACCCCTGTTTGAAATTATTTTACTTATTTATTTATTTGCTCTTCCCTCTATAACATAAGCTCTCTAAGAGCAGGAACATTGTTTTTCTTGTCACTGTTTCACCAGCAGCTAGAACTGCATGGACATACAATAAACATTTGTTGGTCGGCCACATTGTAGAATCTGGAATTAAGATTTGTCATCTCTACCCTCTGAAAACTTTCTTCATAATCCTTGGAATCCTAATCAATTTGATTGGCTACTAGAAAGAGTTCTGGATAAGCAGCTTGGTCTTGGCATGGTTACCAGGTGTGAACTGTGTGAACATTTTCTACTCTGTTGATCTCTGTGTATCCTAAGTTCCTCTGAATAACAATGCCTGCCATTTATTAAGTTCCCAGGGGCACTCTATATATTTATTTCACACAAAACCCTGTGTGTACCTCATGATACAAATGAGGAAATAGGCTGGATGAGGTCAAAAACCAGTCCAAGGCCATGCTATTGATAATTAATGAGGTGACAGAGGCAAAGCCCAGCTAATTATAAGACCTAGCTTCATTCCAGGACAAAACATAAATAGAAGATAATATCTGAATGCACCAAAATATATCGTGATAAAACTTAAAACATTTTACGTGGGGTCAGACACATATTACTTTCCATCTCAGTGCCTAACTTCCTTTGTTTTGTTTTTATTTGTTTGTTTGTTTCTTAAATGGAGGTACTGAGGATTGAACCCAAGACCTCATGCATGCTAAGCACACACTCTACCACTGAGCTATACCTCACCCCCATTCCATAACTTCTTTGTCCCACCATTTATTGGCTCCATCATTTATTAGCTTTGTGACTTAACTATTTACTTTGCCTTCTGAGCTTCAGGTTTCCCTTCTGCTAAATGGGTATATTTAATACTCATTTTATAGGATTGTAGTGAATATGACATAAGCATCAAGCATTGATTTAATATGTGCTTCTTTCCTTTCCTTGCGAATAAATGCCTAAATGTTTGCATTCCTAGTATCTAGCAAGGATATGGAACATGTTCACTAATATAAAAGAGAATACTTGCCTAAAGCTATATAGCAGGAAATTATAAGATTAGTCAGATTCTTATCTGATTATTATTTTATAATATATTATTGCATACCCCTAGAAATTTCTGATGCTTAGGGTGAAACCTAGCAATTTTACTTTTTACATGTGCTTCAGAGAAAAATGAAAAATGGGACAATATGGAATATTTACAAATTATTTCAAGTTGTCCTTAGCATCAGACAGACCTAAAGTTTTAATCTTTGTTTTTACCACTTTATAGTTATGGCCTTGTGCAAGGATTTAACCTCCCTATGCTTTAATTTCCCTGTCAGTAAAATGTATGTGATAAAAACACTGATATCACAGCATTATTATAGAAATTAAGTTAAATTATATTACCTTTATGCAGATGAAGTGCTTAATACAATTCCTGGCTCATCTTTAGCATTCAGTACTAATTAGATGCTATAAACTATAAAACTTCTCAAAGAAAACATAAGAAAAAACTCTTTGTGACCCTGAGTTAGACAAAGTTTTTTTAGATATAACACAAAAAACATAAACCATTAAAGAAAAGAACTGATAATTTGGATTTCATCAGAGTTAAGAATTTTGCTCTTTGAAAGACATTCTTGTTAAAAGAATGAAAAGAGAAAACATAGACGGGGGAATATTGTGAATCATATATCTGATAAAAGACATGTCCATAACATAGAAATAACTCTCAAATACCATAATAAGAAAACAAACAACCCAGTTTCTTAAACTGGGCAAAGTTTGAACAGCCACGTCACCAAAAAAGATATGTGGATGGCAAATAAGCACACTAACATACTAAATATCTTTCATCATCAGAAAAACGCAAATTAAGTCCACAAGGGAATGCCACTACATACTTATTAGAATGTCTAAAATTAACAAAATTTACAAAGTATTGGAGAGAAAGTAGAGGAACTGGAATTCTCATACACTATTGGTGGGAAAGAAACTACTTCAGAAACCAATTTGGGAGCTTCTTAGTAAGTAAAACACACAGTTACAATAAAATCCAGCCATTCCATTCCTAGGTATTTAGCCAAGAAAAATGGAAGCATATACCTACACAAAGACTAGAACACAAATATTCATAGTAGCTTTGTTTGTAATAGCCAAACACTGTAAAGAATCCAAATACTCATCAGCAGGTGAATGGATAAACAAACAGTGATGCATGGGTGCAATGCAATACTACTCAACTATAAAGAGAATGAACTATTGTTACACACAGCAACATGGATGAATTCAGAATAAGTACGTGAAATGAAAAAAGTCAGACAAAAAGAGTTCACCTATATAATTTCATTTATGCGACACTCCAGAAAGTGCAAACTAATCTATAGTGACAGAAAGCAGATCAGTGGTTGCCTAGGGATAGTGTGGGGAGGAAGGAATTTCAAAGGGGCATGAGAAAACTCTTTGGGGTGGTGGATATGTTCATGTTCATTACCTTGATTTAATTGATGATTTCACATGTGTATACATATATCAAAACGTTTAAAATTATACACAGTGAATACATGCTATTGTATGTCAGTTATGGCTTAATAAATTTGTTCTTTAAAAATAACCTACAAGACTTTGAATCTAGTACTATTTTTTTCCTATATAATATCAAAAGGTATAGATACCCTTTTCTCTCTTTTATAAAAGTCATTCTGGGACCTCCAGATAAACAGAATTGTTATGTGATCTTTTATGTTTTAAACTGAAACATAATTTCAGTTCAAATTGAATGATCAAATATTCTGTATTAATTAAATATTCTCTTATACAAGGTACTAACTCTCAAGTCTGCTTAGCTTAGATAATTAAAGTAAATCTGTCTAATTTTCCACAAGAAAATATCATAAATGTGGTTATGCTAAAAGCGGAAAAACAGCTATCTTTGAGGGTAGAATATCCTAATTCCCAGGAGATGCATAAAGACTTCATAAGAAATTAGAAAGTCAGCCACAGAGAACAGCTGTCTCCTTCACGAAAGCAGAAAAGGGCACACAACTCCTAATACATCCATAAAGAATTTGAATTGGCAACTCATTATTGGTTAAACAGTTAATTAAACAGTTAAACTGACATGTGATCCCACCACACCACTTTCTTACAGTAATGAACAGGACATCATGGAGTTACAAACAATGATGATTTGGAAACTAAAAACCAAAAACCCTACCCAACAAACAGACATATATACATAAATACTCAGATTCTTATTTGTCTTAGAGTTTGAGGTGGAAAAATATGTTCTGAATTGAAACTTTAAATCTACTTATTGGACTTAAGTTTTGGTGTTTTCCCACTGACTTCATTATATATCAAAAATATTTCCAAATAATAATAATAAAACTGTACTTAGCCCTAATTAGACACTATGATTTAACTGGAAGAAATCTAACTAGCTGATACTTACTTTTCACAAGTCATGAATCTCCCTGGATTAGTGCTTCCCAAACTTTTATACTTTGTGGCACACAGAGAAAATTACAGTATTTGCACGGAACCTCGGGTATACCAAAGAATGCTAGAGCTCATAAATTCTCATGTTTCTC